ACAAGTTAGCATACTTGATTGTGCTATGTTCCCAGAAGACACATTAATCTGCCCCTTTAAAGTATTTTAATTTTTGAGGAAAAATGTCACCCTACAAAAAGCATTTGTGGGCCGGACAGAACTGTCCCAGGGGCCCCAAATGGCCCCCGGGCCACACTTTAACCACCGTGTTGCTCATCTTAGTTCTGTTGTGTTCAGGCCAATTTCTTCTCCCGCAAACCAAACCGAAGAGATCGATCCCAAGAAGAGACGTACAACCTTTCCAGATGGACTCCAGTCATCAAAGACGTGATGGAGGTCAGAGGTCAAATTTAACACAACAAACTGTCGGCAGCTTCATCTGTTGGTCTCATCACTGCGTATAAAAAAAGAGAAAAATCCACTCTGACACACAGCTTCCAGGCTTTTCCTGCCTTTAATTTATGAAATCTGTCAAGCAAAAAGAAAAAGGGAGAGTAAGAATCATCTCTGAAATTTTTTCACTCTGCAGAAATTAATGGGGAACTGATAGTTCAAGAAATCCCCCAGCAGTAATCTGTCACAAAATTCACCCTTTGACTCTCATGTTTCTGTTGGTAGTTTTCCTGAGGGCCGCTGATCAGATTATCCTGATCAGATCCTGTGTACTTAAATTTACATAATTAAGTTTAAAAATGACTGGTTTTATTTGGTAAGTAGTAGCAGTCGGCATTTATTGCATCATTTATCGTGAAAAATTTCTTTACATAAGAATTTTAGCTAATTATGATAAATTTCCATTGTTAATGTTAAAAAAACTGACAGTATAGAAATGTTATTTTTGTAGTTTTCTCATTTTTAGTTACATGAGGGCATCAATAAATTGATTAAAAAATACCAAAATTTCTCAAAAAAATTCCCCCCTGAAATTAAGACTGAGTCTTCTACCATTAGAGTAAATAAAGAGTAAATCATGAATTAACGTCGGTCTGGAGAGCTTTATTATCTTAGAAAAATAAAATAATTTGAAAACTGCTTCATATATTTACTCAGGTTGTGTTTTTTGATATAAAAATTATTTTGTGTATGCTGCAGAGAAGATTTATGTCCTGATTGCAGAAAATAATGTAAAAAAAAATATATATTATTTTCAGGATGCTGTGGAGAACAAACTGGACTCCAGAGACTGGCCGCACCAATCAGAATGTCCCGCTGCCTGGAACGGCTCCGGCGCCGTCAGGTGGGGCATCAGGAAAAACTGATTGATATTCATCATTCAAATATTTCAACATCAAAACAGCAAGATCAAAAAAATTATGCATAATAAGTAAAATTGTTGAGATATTTAGCAAACTAATGCCACAAAAACCCAGTTTTAAACATCTATAGGCTCAGAGGTGGCAAGTTATCATCCTAACGGTCATTAATTTAAAAAGATTTTCAATGTTTCCAAAGGCAGGAGCAGTCAAAAGTATTTCAATTTTAGTCTCATTTTATTTCACATTTTGAATATGCTGGGCTTTGTGTCTGGCATGTTTGTTTAATGTGGTGATTGGGTTAGTAATGTTTTTCCTATTATTGACATAATCATCTCTTCTTTTCACAGTGAATGGTTTTTTTGACAAATAAATTTGAGTAAGCCAGGTTTTGTCTGTGGATTCTCCTATTTTGTTCCCAACTATGAGCCAAGTTGTTAACGACTGGGGGCTTGTCCGGGATTCAATTCACATTTATTTTTATTCTGATGATTTGCATTTTTACTTTAAAAGTAACTCTAGGGTTTTTTGGACCTCCCACAGTGGCGCTCAGTAACTTCGGCTAGAAATTATAAAGTACCCAACTAATGTTTTTAAATAAGGACATAAAAATAAATTCAGGTTTTAGCAGTTTTCAGTCTTCTCATGGAACAGAACTACATTAAAAGTATAAATAATTATTTAGATATTTTTTCTTGTCATTATATTGAAATCTACTGGTGTGTTTCCACAAATATTAACATTACATTTAAGAAAATGTATTGATTTTTACCAAAGTTTTACCCTTAAAACCTGTATCTTATCCTGACAATAGTAAAAAACAAAACTATGGTTCTTTAAAAATGGCAGCACATTAGCTAGTGTAGGTATTTCTCAAAAATGATCAGTCATGTAACATTTGTGGCTCTAGACAAGCTTTATTTGGCTGGACTGAGGGCCAAATGTCTTTTCTTTTGTTTTTGGAATAGACTTGTTCTCTTGCTTGATCTCCTAAATTTCCTAACATGCATGTTCTTCAGCGCCCGCCAGAGGAACAAACCCAGCACCCAGGACGATCGCCGGACCGGTTCACGCCTCATCATCTTTGTTATTGGGGGCATCACCTACTCTGAGATGCGCTGCGCTTACGAGGTCACCCAGGCGGTGAAGTCCTGTGAGGTCATCGTAGGTTAGTATTCCTCTTGAAAACAACTTTGTTTCTCTGGAGTTTATCTGTTTTTGTCATTCAGTCAACTACAGTTTGTGTAGTTGACTATTGTGCTTCCTTGACCAGGCTAGGATAGGTCAGTGGGCGATACGAACCATGTCCATTACATTTTTAGCACAAAGTCATTCTTAAAATAAGCTGTTTTAGGGCCTCTTGTCACTTTAAAACCAAATAAGCTGCTGCTAGCCACAACCCCAAACTTTGTTTACTTTCGCACTGAAAATGACCTCAAACAGATGTGCAATTATACTACTGTACATCTTTGAAAAGCATTAGTGGAGCCTTCTACACAACCAACAAGAAGGCAGCAAGTGGTTTCTGAATAGTAGGTCATCAAAATACTTGTCTTTTCCAATAGCCATTGTACAGCACAGACAGCAGTAATACCAGCTGACCAAACGTGCTGGAACTCTAATCGGGTTGCTAGGTTACTGGGATGGGCTTGGGTTTGGGTTTGCTACGTAATGGTGTAGCGTCCATTGATTTTGTGACTTAACAATTGAAAGGTTTTGAAACAGTTCATTTTCCAGACACCAAAAAACAGCAGGAAGGATTTTTTTTCAAGCTCTTGATCTGTTTTTAGAACAGGTGAGACCCAAGTGGAACAATAAAAATGTGTAAAATGTTTAATTTGCATAATTGATCCGCTTTAACATACATTAACCATTCTAATGTCTAAAAGCAACTTTAAAAGGTAAAGTTTTTAATTTGACCAGCTGACCAAATGTGCTGGAGCTCCTCTTGCATTGCTGGGCTGGGCTTTGTTGAAGTTGCTAGGCAGTAATTTGTGACTTTACATTCTGAAAGTTTGACACCAACAAACATTAACTTATTGCCAAAAACTAGCTGGGTGTTTATTTTTCAGTGCTTGGCCTGTTTCAAAAGCATTTGAGACCCAAATGAAAAAACAAAAACATGTAAAATATTAATTTTCCATAATAGATCCCCTTTCATGCTTTTTATGACCTGCTTAATTGTTCCTCGTTTATTTTTGACTTAATTCTCCCCCTGCTGGTACCAATGAGAACTCAAAATGAATATTTTTTATCTTTATACAGGTTCTTCTCATATCTTGACCCCCATCGGTTTGCTGGAAGACATTAAAGCCCTGAGCAAAGGTCCAATGGAAACTTTTACTCTAGAGGAAAGAAGCAACGCCTGAGAAATCTCCCATGTTACTTCATCTCATATCACTCAGCCCTGCACTCAACTCAACTTCCTGATTGGAAAACTGAAGGGAATTCACCTGTAGCTTATTTTTGTCTTTTATTTTACTTTATGCACATTTATAGTGACGGTATTGACAAATTATCCTTTAATCTTTCATTTCGCCTGGCAGAATTTCTTCTTTTTTTGGTCAGAATACAGTCTGTTTATAATGTATGTAGCTTTGTTCTATTAAATCAAATGGATTAATTTTAAAATTAACTAACCTCATTTGACTAAAAGCAAGTTTATGTTTAAAAAAAAAATGTCCATAATGCATTATTGTGTTAACCTTTGACCTTAAAGAAAGATGCTGGTAATGTTACAAGTTGACCAGCCCCTGATGGCTGTGGGAAAATAAAAGCACAAAGTTGTTGTATATACTGTATGTATGCACCGAGTGTCTGCTTTGTTGTGTTGCCTTTTCTGATCACTGTTGTTTATAAACACCTAATATATTCTGAGTGTTTTTAAATAAGTACACCTTTCTTGGATTGAACAACTGACTAATAAATGGATGAAATGGTTCAGCTCTGAGCTGTTTTTGCAATGTCTGCTACTTGTTTTTTTTAATTATTAGTATAAAATCAGGGAATGCAAACAAAATTTATCTGCTAGATAATTTTTTATGTCATCAGTTCTTAAAAAAAGATTTAATTGTTTTTATGAGCTTTTTTGTAACAAATATTTACACCCATCTGAATAAAATATTTGACATTACAGCAATTAACTAACCAGTTTTTGCATGTTTTCTGTGGTAGTAGGTAGTAGAGATGATACAAAGTTTAAAACATTATGGACTGTTTATCATTTCTTGGATGTTGGTTTTAGGGTTTTCACTCCCTGTAAGTTATAATCTAAATTTACAAAAAAGCCTGAACTATATCCCTCCATTTTAAGAATCTGTCAAATGAGTTTTACTTATTAAATTCTGTCATTGAAAATCAAAAAATAAAGCCATTGATTAATTAGTTTATTGGGCTCTCCCTGCCTACCATGGCAATATTATTTGAAAGTTTTGATTTAAAGTTACTGTTTATGATTGTGTATATATTTATACCATATTTCACGGCGATGATGGAGAAACAGGAGCAATAAAATAAATATACATTTATTTAATTAGATATATTGTTGCACAAGAAGCAATAAAGCGAATGTAGTATTTTTATGTTATTTTATAATTATCTGCATCGGCTAATGTAAGTTTATTTCTTATGATTTAATGACATTTAAAACTTGTCTATGAAACACATTAAACGTTTATTTATTACATGGTACATTTAAAAAAAATGATTTAACTACTTAAATTTAATTCGTGTACTTTCGACCTTCTACATGCGCATGCGTGAAGAGTTCCTTTCTCCACGCGCTTCACCGTTGTCATGTCAACCAACGCTGAAGGCAAAGTTACTACTCAAATCTGACATCCAACAGTTGACGTTTAACACGAAGATAAACAAAAATGTATCTCTAGCTGCAGTCTAAGATATTGATTATCACATTAAAACAAATCCAAGAAGCAGGAACAGTGGCAGAAATGCCGTCAGGCAGTGAAGGTGTCCCAGACACGGAGGGGGAAGGCAGCAGTAGCGGCGGCAGTAGAGTCGCTGTCTTCGGCGAGGAGAAGCGAGAAGGCTTCGGTGTTCAGGAGTGGCCTGACGGGTCAAAATATGAGGGCGAATTTTTAGACGATTTCAAACATGGAAAAGGGCGCTACAGCTGGAAAAACGGCGAGGTAACATGAAGTTACAGCTTCGCCAACTGCCAGTGTTTCATTTTCTAAGTTTCCTGTTGATTTTTGTAGTTCTATGAGGGGTTTTTCTACAAGGACTTCAAACATGGCGATGGGGAGTACAGCTGGCCCTCTGGTCACAAGTTCATTGGCAAGTTCTACCTAAACAGAAAGGAAGGATATGGATGTTTAATCTACCCAGGTGGAGCCATCTTTCAGGTGAGCCTGCAGTATTTTTTAACTATTTCATTCATTTATTTATTTTTTTTATTTTAAAAAGAAGTGAATTCTGTAGAAAAAAAAGCATGTTCTCCTTCCACATATTCAGGGTTTGTACCACAGTGACCACAGGTTTGGTCCCGGTGTTCTCACTTATCCAGATGGGAACCAGGATGTGGGCCTGTGGATCGGGCAGCGCCTGCTAAAACTCTGCTCCTCTTTAGAAGAAGGCTTTAGTCTGCTCAATTTTCCAGATTATGCTGCATTCATGCAGTCCTCTCATCGTGAGCATTTTTTCATTCAGGTATGTGCTGTCATGTTTTTGCTTCAATATCCCTTTCAGGCTTACATTTAAAACATAATAAACTCTGTTGCCTTCTGTCCTGTCACGTCTGTTTCTAACCCGTCTTCAGTCAGACGTAGACGAAGATCTACTATCAGACGAAAGCTTCATCTATCCACCCGGCATCGAGAGGTACTCCACAGATGGCGACCACTTGCCGCTTCCTCCTGGAAGGAAAAGAGAGTTGGATCGAGTTTTTCACGGTGAAAAGTGGGAGCCAGAAGCCCGTCCATACCAGGGGTACAAAAGGGATCCTCTCTCTGCGTTCCCTGTGCACATCCGCATGAAGGCTAACATACACGAACACAGGTTAGAGACCATTACAGTGAAGTCGGCCCCCCGACCTTCTTCAGATCTAACAAAATTGGTGTCAAATGTTTGTGACACGTTAGTGCAGCAAAATTTTTTGTTTGTGCCTCTATCATTTTAAAGATAATAAAAAGTTTCAGGAGGTCATTAGAGGTCAACCACCCTGCCTTCACTCACATTTACCAAATCAACTCAACTCTGTTTATGCAGCACAAAATTTCCTTTGTGCTGCTTTTGCTTTGAAAATATTGATAATGACCTCTGATGACCTTTAAAGCATAAACGTTTGACACCAACTTTGTTAGCCTTGATGAAGGTGGGAACCGACTTCACAAGTTCGTTGTACTGAGAGGAAGCATCTGTTTCACCTCTACCTACGTGTTTGTTTCAGGCTGCAGGCTGAAACTGTCGACTGGAACGTTGCAGGGGTCCTCTCTCTGAAGGGGGACAGCTTTGGCCCCAAAGGGCCTCTGGAGGTCACCTCAGAGCTGCTGCTTCAGCACAGCTTCAGAGGGGAGCTGCGCGCTGTGTCACAGATCCTCCAAAACGGCGCCGTCTACCCGGACGTAGCCGACGCACGAGGACAAACCGCGCTCATCGCTGCAACCGTAACATCTCCCAGTTTGAGTTTTCCTCCTCTGCAGGGCCGTGTCTAGGTTTTTTTTCCCTCAGGGGCACAAACAGAACAATGGTGGCAAAATGAGATTTCAATTTCATCTAAATGAACTGTGGGCCGAAATTTGGGAAACTAAATATCTTATTAGCCCAAACAAAACTACAACGGAGTATTAGGTCCAAACTAAGGAAAAATTAAAACATAAATTATGAGAATAAAGTGGTAATATTACGAGAATAAATTTGTACAAGAATAAAGTTGTAGTATTACGAGAAGAAAGTTTCAATACTATGAGAATGAAGTTTAATATATTTGAGAATAAAGTTATAATGATATGAGAAAAAAGTCAAAAATATTTTGAGAGTAAAAATTGTAGTAAAAATTGTTTATCTTCGTAATATTTACGAAGATAAAGCGATAGCATTACAAGAATAAACTTGTATGACAGTAAAGTTGAAACAATATGAAAAGAAACTCATAATATTACAAAAATATTCTCATATTTAAGAGAAAAAAGTTTTAAAAATGTGAGAATAAAGGCATAGAATTATGAGAATAAAGTCCAAAATATTACACAAATGAAGCTGAAATAATATGAAAATATAACAATATGATATTAAATATTATATTAAAATAAAAAACATACATTTTGAGAATAAAGTCATAATACTATGACTCTATTCCCATAATTTAATTTTTTTATTTCTTAGCATGGCCCTAAAACTCCACCTTACAAAACACATAAATCTGTTTAACTTGTGAAAACTGTGGTAGATTTGTTTGTTCCAGGCTAATTTTTCCAGTTTCATTTAGTTATCAAAGTCGTTCTACTCTGGATGGGATGTAAAAGAATCGTCTTTTTGCTGTCCAGCATTGAAATTTCCTAATGTGAACGATAGCATCCAGCGGGCCCATCGTCTCATATATGTTTTTGTATCTCCACCTGTCAGGTAAACTGCAATAATGATGTGATCCACCTGCTGCTGGATGGCGGTGCTGATATTGACAAGATGAACAACGAAGGAATGAGCGCCCTGGCTGTGTGCAACGTCCTCTACTATCCCTTTGAGTCTCTGAGGTCGACTCTGATCGAGCCGCCCACTGACACGCCGGTAAGACAACGCATCGCCGTGCTGGGAGAGATGGACTTTTGGGACTATTGTGACAATAATAAAAATGACAATAAGAGCTATTTATTACTTCTTTTTTAGGTGTATGATTGTGACTGTGTGTCACAGCAATTCTAGCCCCACAAACACAAATGCTGCTCTTGAAAAACATTCCCATTTGTGCTTTTCTGTCTTGTGTCGTAAGGTTTCGATGTCTCCGCCTGGTGAGACCAGCTCTCCGATCAACCAGACTGACGACCCATCGAAGTCGCTGGACCTGAACACCGAATCACAGATTACTGGCTTGGATCAGAACCAGGACTTGAATCTGAATCAGGATAATACGGACCAAAGCAGCCCAAGCCAGCTCACCGAGCAGTAAGCCTGCACCTACACGTTCACTCATGCTGATTTACAGATATTTCATCAATAGAAACCTTCTGTTTACTGTTTAAAAGCTGTTTGGAGAATATGCCAGGGCTGCAGCTGTTATTTTAGTGTTCTTCTATTTATTATTCTGATGATTAATAAAAAATAATAATTGGCACATTTTGCTGATTTCTTATTGAACCACTTCTGAATATTTTATTTTAGAAATACATTAAAACTATTAATTTTAAATAAGAAAATAAACATCGTATTACCTGAATTCCTGGATCATTTGTATCTATAGCAATAATTCAATTAATCACACAATAAATTAAAACAAACTCGATAATTTCCATTTGCACAATTTATTGTTTTTCTCTTTTCTCTCTTTTTACCAAAAACTGAATGACTAAAGTCTTTGGTCTGGTGTTTTGGTCTCAGTTGGCCCCTTTCTTTAAAGGACAATTTTGTTTACAGAGACTTTGTGATTCATTTTATTTGTTGTTTTGTTTATTTATTTTAGATATTTAAAATGTCTTCCAGTTCCAGTGTTAAATTTCTCATGGAATTTAAAGTTTATTGATCTTTGAGAATGTGCTCCTGTTTTATTCTGCCATTATTACCATTATATTACTTGAAAATGGTCTCAACTCAACAATATTATAGTTTATTGCAATAACTTCTGGGACAATTTATCATCCAGGATCTGCAGATAAAAAATACTCCTATTATCAACAATGATTAAAAAATAATTTATTGATCCCAAAGGGAAATTAAATGTTGTTGTAACTCATATTAATTATTAATTCAGA